GCCTGTCAATTACCCTCAGCCTGGTTTAGCCTGTCTGCTGAGAGAGTTTTATTGGGACGTGGCCACTGCCTGTGCTAACAGCTTCTTGGAGCCATGGGTGAGAACTGAGTGAGTCAGGTGGACACCAAAGGTGGATGAGCAGCCCTGAAAAGGGCTCAGAAAGCCCTATACCGGAGGGGCTAGTCCTCCCTTAACACCCCATATACCCTAGTGTTCTTTAAATAGAGGCTGGATGACCATTTTGATAGTGGTGGTAGGTAGGACTACTATTAGAAGGGATTCTTCATCTGGTATGAGTTAGAATAGATGGCCTCAGGGATTTCTTTTCAATCTCATCTTCTGTGAAGCTGAAGAGAAACAGATGCTTCTTTTGGAAGCAACGAAAAATGTTTTAATAATTGAAAATGCCTTGAAGTAGAATGGGTTCAAGAGGTTGTTCTCCATCATTAGAGACCTTCAAATGGACTCTAGATGGCCTCCTCTTGAGGGTTTTGTTCAAGGGATTTCTGTCCAGGTATCAGTTAGACTGGATGTGCACAAGTTTGTCCATTCCAATTAATGCATATTTTTGAGATATTAAATATTTAATCTCTTACCTAATAGATGGCAATGTGGCATATAGTACAAAGAGTCAGAAAGTCCTAGGTCTACCATTTGCTAACTGTATGATCTTGCATCAGTCACTAGGGCTCTCCCAGGCTCAATTTCTTTATCTGTAGGGTGTAGGTGATAATAACTGCACAGCCTTCTTCACCAACTGTTAGGAGAATGCTCTGTGCTAATGATCTATGAAAGTCCTATCCAAATGGAAATGATCTTATTTGTTTTCTTACTGAACCTAATCTTATGTTATTATCCTGCTGGATTCCTTGTGGGGAAGGGGCAGTGACAATTGCATCTCTCAATGAATTGCTAAAGGATATGAATCTGGTAGGAAAGGAGGAGCAGCAGGAAAACATGGATGGGCAATTTCTCTCTGCAATTTCTTTAATTAATAGGACTAATGCATGCCAAAGATACAGGGAGTGTGTTTGGGGTGCTTATTTACTAGCTGATTCTTAGGTCATAGTGGTGTTTATGGCCTCTTCTCCATGATGTAGTCTTTACCACATGACCCATGCCTTTGTTAACCTCAGATCAGATTGCTATCATTTTCTCTGTTTATTCCTCAAAATGGCTCTGAAAGCACTTCTGGTGATTCCAGTGTTTAAATAAAGACCAGCTGGAGACTGGATGTTTCTAATGAAACATCTTTTGATTTGGACTTTGCTTTCTCTACCAGGAAGGTAAGACATAATTTTAGCTTATTTAAAATCACTGGGCAAGATCCATATGTTTTCAAAATCATGTACCTCTGAATTTGTACATGAGAGTGAGCAACAGATACCTGTATAATATAATTCATGGTACCATTTTCTTTTTGATCTATTACAGAAATAGAAGGTACCTTATTTGTTCATTAGGTTAGGGTTAATGAAGTGACTTGCTGTCTACCTACAAATCAGTAATTAAGTAGCCAGAATATCATTCTTATACTTAGTCAGAACAGAAATTGTCCCAAACAATGGAAATAAAGGCTTGTTTCAGTCCTTAGTGATTTATGTACCATACACTGTATGCAGTTTTATAATACACACACATGTGTGAACATATATGCGTGTATATATGTATGTATGTGTGTATACATATATGCAGAAACATTAACAAATAAATTCATAGTTAGGAAGTAGTCTTAATAGAAATTTGTTAGAAGTTCCACTTAAGACTCTGCCTCTCTCTTCCACAGCAACATTGTAGTCATACACACATATATACACACTACAAATATATATATATATATAGATAGATAGATAGATATAGATAGATAGATAGATATCTAGATATCTAGATATCTATCTATCTATAGATATCTAGATATCTATCTATCTATCTATCTATCTATCTATCTATCTATCTATCTATCTATATATCTATAACGTATAAGACTATCCATGTATGTGACTATGGTATTGTTGTGCAGGGAGGGAGGGGTGAGTCCTTAAGTGAATCTAAAATGACTTGTTAATATTTCTGTTCTAATTGGCCTTGGCCACTTTTACACTCTTAAATTCTTCCCCTTCCCACTCTATTTTTTTCTTTTTTTGAACTGAGCTTCTGCCAAGTGTCACAATCAGACAATCATAGAGAGGAAAAGAGGTCAAGATTGTATTAGGATTTGTCAATTATCCCCCTCTTGGTATCAGACTTCACAGATTGTTCAGCAATATGGCCAATTTCACTCAAAATTCTTTTAAAAGTTCTCTCTGTGGTTAGGCTTAGGCTGATCAATAAAATATGCTTTTAAAGATCCAATTTCTCATTCATCAGGAATGAGCAAACACAGGGAGGGCAGTAGCTACTGAATGCTCTCTGTATTCTCAATACTAAATTGTTGTAGAGAACATTGATCCATGACAAACGGTAGCTGGAAATAAGAATGAGGCAACAGAAGATTTGCCTTTATATCTGACTGGGACTACAGCAAGAGGTGGATTATTGTGATATATTGGGAGGCACTTGGCTATTCTCATCCTTCCAAAGCCCATCTTCCCAAAGTTTCAGATTTGTATATATTCTACATTTCCTTAGAAATAAATCTCTCCCCTGTTAGAATGTAAGCTTCTCAAGAGCAAGGATTGATTCATTTTTGTCTTCTTATTCCCAGTGGTTAGCACAGTGACAGACACACAATAGATGTTTAAAATGCTGTCAATTGATAAATTGATTGATTGCCCTATCACAATAGCTGACACTTATAAAGCACGTGAAAGCTTGCATAGTACTCTTCCTGCAATGACTTTGTAAGGAAAAGTAGTTCAAATATTATTACCCCTATTTAAGAGATGAGAGAACTGGGTCTGAGAGAGGTTAAGTGACTTGTTCATAGTCACACAGTTAATGTGTTAGACTCAAGATTTTATGCCAGTTCTACTAAGTACCACAGCACACTTTTTATCATGCCACACTGCCACTGTCAATCATATGAAAAGAAAGTATAAAGTAATTTTTTTTTTGATTGATACCTACAAATGTCATTCTTTGTCTCAAATGTATTTATTTGTACATGGCCTGCCATGGCTCTGCTGAGTGCTTGAGTCCATTGCCTACAGGTACATGTAAGATGGCTTCATAGGAGACTATAATTTCTGGAACTTTGCTACAAAGTATTAAGCTATTGACTAATCTCAATTTTTTGAGTGTGTGTTACCCAACTTTATCCACAATTGATTCTGGCATCCTGAAATATCCTGTCCCTTCCTTATTAAAATGTGACAGAATTGTTGCTACAATGCACAAGCAGAATTTGAGAAGCAGAGCTTTAAAGCACATTATTGAAGAAGGATTTAGGGATGCTGAATAAAAAGCACCATCTGTTGTTAGTACTTAACACTAATAAAGCACTTTTACATTTTACAAAATGCTATATAATCATTTTTATATCAACTATCCTCACAAAAAGCCTATAAACTTAGAACTGCTCAAATTTTAGAGAGGAAAGGGACTGAGGAATAAAGAAATTAAGATTTTTCTTCAGGGCACCATTACTTTTGAGAGTCATAGTAAATATGTGTGTGTGTGTGTGTGTGTGTGTGTGTGTGTGTGTGTGTGTGTGCGTGCACGCAGGGGTAAGCTAGCTCTTCTGAGCCGCAGGCCTTAGCTCACTCTTCTATTGAATATTTCCTCTCAAACATTGTTCCCCATTAATAATTCAGTACATTGGAACAAAGACCAGAAGCCTCAGCTACAGCCATTGAAGACTTTTTCTTCATTGTAAATAGGGGGATACTCGGATATAGTGAATAACAATGTATGATATCTCTTTCTCTCTTCTGGGATATTTTATCATTTCCTAAGGTGTGAGTTCTGACACTCTACTTCAAATATGTGTGAAAGTTTCCTAGTGAACATTGGAAGCTCTTACAATCAGTAGCATTCAAGTTATTTACAAGCTTTCTTAGAAGAGATGTTTGAAAAGGTGGTGATAATCAAAACTTGTCTGTAAAGATCACATCTTTTAAAGTCTCTTATTTGCTATATCCATATCCACTTTCTCATCTCTGGAGCTTAAAGGATGACTTTTTTTTTTCTCCTGACAGTATCATTATCCCTAAAGAATCAAACCTTTCTGTCTCTTACACCTTCACTTGCTACAGAAATTCTGCTCCAAGAATGTAGCTGACAATTTAATTTCTGTGAGGCTCAGGCTGAGGACATAAGCAAGCCTCATTCCCCTGACTCAGCGCTGGTAGCTCTATAGGGGTTACTGTAAAGAAATAAACAAAACCTCCCATACACTTCTGGGTCAATAAAATGATCAGATAAGACTTGCAAACAGCATCTTTACATAGGTATTTTTGTGAACTTGACCACAATTTAGAAAGAGGATTTTAATCTCACTGCTTCTGAAAGCTTTTTAGGGCAAAAGCTCTCATCACCTAACCCTTTCATTGGGTAGTAATGTAGTGAAGTGCTAAAGCACTCTTCTAAATGAATAAGAGGAGAGCATGGAGTGGTAGAGCTACCAGGAAATAGTTAATGTGGAGCTGACAGGCAATGTGCTAAGCTTAGACTGTTGGCTTTCACAGTGAGAAAATGAAACTTTCCATCCCTCAGAGAGCATAACCCTAATCAGTATCACACTATTTTTAATGTATCTTGCTTTACAGCATAACTGGACTGCATTTTTCATGTGAAGGTAAAAATTAAAGGATTTATGATAATCCTATGCGGATGGTTGTGGGTGTTTCATTTTGATGAGAGCATTTTCCTCTATTCTTTGTTAACATTTTTCAGCTTCTTGCTACAGTCTTCTTACCCGAAACTACTCATGTGAAAAAAGTCTTACCAGATAAGCAACAATTCTTAGTGTACAGAAGCTCATATCCTCCCCAGCTACTTGTGAGAAGTGACTTCTTCAGGCTTTTAAAATCATAATGTAAAAGTGTGCAAAGGAATCCTACCTTGCCAACATACTGATAATCGGATCCTGTGTATTCCTCCAAGAGGAAGAACTGATTCCACATCCAGCTCCTTTTTGCTCGATTAAGCTCATTCTTGCTACTTCCAGATAGCTCCAGTATCTTTTTCTTCTCTGGAAAGCCACTAGTCCTCTTGGAGAAGGGGCTTGAGAAACTTTGGTAGATCTGACCAACCCAAAAAAGCAGCAAGAAGTAATGGTGAGTTCTCATTATGATTGCACAAAGCAGGGCTCAGTTGTAGTGCCTTTTCCTGTCCTGGAAGTGCTCAGTTCTGCTGCACTGTATCCAGCCTCATTCCTCCCTCTTCCTTAGCGTTCGTTGCTTAGGTCTCGGAGGATATCTGGAAAGAATAATAACATATCAAGCATTTTTAGAGATACTTAAAATTCAGTGTTACAGCAAATAAACTGGAAAAGTAGAACAGAAAATGGAATAGCCTTCCCTCTCTCCAACCCCCCCCAAAAAAAAAAGTCGGCTATCAATTTGGAAAGGCAGAAAGTGGCCTTTGAACACATTAAATGGAATGTGTGTCGGGTAGGAGGCAGCCACTTTCTTTCTCATTTTCTATTACTTAAAAACCCCTGTTTAAGTAACAGCTTTGATATAGGACAAAGTGTCGCAATGGATTTATTTTACTAACTCTTTCACATCTCCAAGTGTGGGCTGAGATCTGGTTAGAGGAAATGAGTCTACATGTTCCTAGTTCTCTTTGCTTTTCTCTTTTCCTGCACAAGTCCAAAGAAATGAATATCATGGACAATTGCAATATAGTCTAATTGATTAAAACTTGGCCTCCGTGATGCTTTACACCTAGTGAATCGACTGCTTAAGCTGGATACTTTAAGAAATTAAGAAGCAATTCTTAATTTGCCCACAAAGCTTTCATGGAACTTTCACATATACCCCATTATCACAGGGATGGTAGTGAGCTTCAAGAGCCTTACAAGGTATGGTACCAGGAATAAGAGAATTATAGAATCTTGGGGCTGGAAGGAGCCATCTGGTACACTTGTTTTGTCTTACAGAAAAGGAAGCAAATGTTCAGAGAGGCAGGTAACTATGAATGGGTTTCCTTGGAAGGCAATGGATGTGTGAAAGTTTTAAAGGAAAGGCTGGATAACTATTTAATTGAGAGGGGATTTTGACCAGGTATGCCTTGGATTAGATGAAGAGCTATGGAAATTTCATTCAATTCAGAGATTCTGTACTTGTGTGCCTAAACCAGAGACACAGCGGGAGTTAATGGCAGAGCCAGATCTAGAACTTAGTTCTCCTGATTTCTCAGTCTATGGCTCTTTCCATATACCCTGTACTTCATGGCTTCATGTGGGGGATTAAATTTTTATTAAGTCTAAGTTTTCATAAACATGATTTCCTTTAGGCTCAGACTAGTATTTTTGCAGATCCTGGGCCCATGCTACTCTGCACATCTGTTACAAATTGGTTTACCAATCTGAGCAATTAAAACAATGCACACATGTATTCTCTTGCTACCCCTAGTCCACATTTCTCAGTAACAATCTAAGGCATAAAACCATATCATTAACTCCTTTATCTGATTACTAGATAATGGAATGAGTCTGTTTAAACAACAACAAAAAAGGATTCCAAGTGCTTCCCAAAGCAGAACACAATAACAATTAACTGGTTATGTCATTTCCAACATGGCAATGAATGCATTTTATATTCACAGATCAGCACTTTGTTTCGATTTCTTTCCCCCAATGCTAGGGAGATTTGCACACTTGGCTCTTGTTACCGGAGGTGCAACTGTAACTACCTTTTGCATCAGTGAAATTGATAGCCACCTATCATCTGGCTTGGGGGTACTTTCTGTTGAGATAGAAATGGGGCACTTTATCGTATTCAGCATTTTTTGAACCTTCATTACATTATTGTACTTCTTCCTGACAGCAGGCTGGGGAAGTTAGAAATTCTACAGGTGAATAAATGAGTACTGTGACAATTAACACTGTTGGCTGAGGGCCAGTGAACAGGACTCTTGCCCTGAGGTTGGCTTTTGGTACAGGTACAACATGATTGATGATCCATTAGGTAATGAGCAGCTTCTCTCTTTTTCTTCATGGCATACGGATGAGGTGTGCACAGAGGAAAGCCCACTAATAAATCTGTCCTCTCTCCTTTTTCCCCTTTCCTATCGTACAGGTTCAGATATATGTGAGGGTTCAGATACAGGAAATCACACTTTCCCTATGTTTCCCACACTCTTAATTATCTGCATTAAAAGATCCTGTGGTGAAGAATTAGACATGTGTGCTGCATCCAATGTATCCCCTTTGGTGCTGGCAGGGAAAGAGTGACATGGGGAATGGCCCTGTCAGCTGTTTTAAAAGGCAAAATCATAAAGGGCAGTTTAAAGGAAAATCTATACCCGTGGGTGTTTTGTGTAAATTATGCAATCTGGTGCTGCTCAGATGTTCAATATTAGCTCTTCTGTAATATCACAGATATAAAATATAAAGTGTTTGCAGGAGGATTTTTTTCCTTCAGGAAAAATGTGCCCTAAGTGCAATCCAAATTAAGGCCATTCTGCCTAAATGTGCAGGAACACCACAATGAGGCTGTGGTATGTTAACCAGAGTGACTCAATGTTGAAAACTGAGGTTGAGGGGCTATTTGCACCATAGCAATGAAACATTTGATATTACAGAATTTCTATGAATAAATTCTATAGTGGAAAATATTAAAACAGTGGATAGGAGAACTTAAATCACACCGTGTTTCTTTGCACTACATTTCTAGGCTAGAACTTTACCGCACTATATTTAGCAATAGAATACAGAGTTAGACAAATTCTAAGGATACCCATTCTCTCTCTTTATTTAAACTTTTCTAAAAGCATCATAAATTAAGGTAGAAGTTATTACACACAGAGATTTATTCCTGAGAATAGAAATGTGCACAAAATCCTAATGAATCAATTTTCTAATTGTTTTTTCACTGCTATGGACATTTCATCATATGATTCATTAACACTAACAAACATCTCAGAAAAGAGGAAAAATCAGAAAATGTATTGAAATGTTACAACAATGGAATAAGTGACAAGTTTTTAACCTAGAGTCTGCAAACTTATTCTTTTAATATTTTGGTAACTTATTTTGATATAATTGGTTTCCTTGATAATTCTTTATTTTATTTTACGCATTTAAAATCATTCTGAGAAAGGATCCGGAGGCTTCACCAAGCAGCCAAAGTGGGGCTGCGCCACAAGCAAAAAAGGTAAGAACCTCTGGTCTAAATGAAGGGGCCATAAATAGGAATACTGAAGAGGTGCAAGACCGCTTGTAATTTGCACACTTAAGACAATTCTTTCTTTGTTCTGGTTCATTTTAAAATGACTTTATCTCATTCAGGTGAAAAAAATAGGAATCACAGTTTCAGTTGAAGAATTTTCTTCTTGGGGAAAGAACATGGTATCCTATAACTGCTATTTTGAGAAGCAAATATATGAACTATTTATATATAACATGTTGATATTACTTGGAATTATAAAGTACAAGAATTTATCTCACTTCCTACAAATTGCACAGAAATCTCAGATTTTATCTCTTCCCAAGCAAGAGAAAAACCATTTTAAATGGTGATTCGACCAGGAGCAGGATTCTTAAGCAGCTAGTTGCTGGATGACAAATTGAAGTATCATCTTCAGAAGGAAAGAAAGGATACACACTACACTACACTGAAACTTCAAGAGGTATGGCAAAGCTCTTGATTCTGAGGAAGCCAGAGTAATAGAGAGTCAGTTTGCCAAGTCACAATCATATAGGAGGCAGCTCATTTCAAGAAAAAAGCAGTAGACCAGAACCCAAGGTAAAGAAGGTACAGCTAGAGACCAGATTTTATAAGGAAAGGTTTGGCAGCTAATATAAGTAGACAGTAAATGTTTACTCCAAAGACAGTTTTTCTTTTTTAAAGAAAGGGAAAAAACCCCCACTAAATCATACCACCTCCTCTTCCCTTGTCCCTATGTGTTCTCCAGCAATGCAGAAAACATCAACAGCTGAACCCTACCCCCGTCCCCCAACAATATTAAACACTGCCATACCTGAAAGTAATAAGTATTAAATAACTTTAACATATATTCTCATTTTAATTTCATTTTCTTGTTTTTATTTTCATCATAATCTATTGTTGCAGGACAGTTGCCTGCATTTCTTGTACTCTCTGAAACTACTCATAGATGCAACCGGTTAATTCAGTCAGATGTATATCAGGCTGTGGGTACCTCAGTCATAAGAAGGACATAGGCCTGATTCTAATTTTAAAAATGATGAACTTTTGGTCAGAGGCTAGCCCAGAATACTTCCACTTATGCAACATATCATTAATTCAAACTCCACTAATTCTGAATTTATACAATTTCAGAAAAAAAGCTGAATTATTTCTTTTGGAAACCCAAAGATCTTTGATGATCAAACCCTTTAGGGGTATGTGAAAATTAATAGTGTAAATAAGATTATATAGGAGGATGTTTAAAATAATAGAGAACAAACTATTTTGGAAAGTCCCTCTAGCACTTTTGAAGGAACATTTAGCATATAAACACTTGATATGCTAATTTAAAAACCAGTCTCAGTTATTCATTAAAACAGATCATAGAACCATAGGATTATGAATTTAAAGCTGGAAAGAGATCCACTAAGGACTTCTACAAGGTAACAATTTAAAAACTCTTAAGTATTTGAAGCCCTTTTTCCACCTGGCTTCAACCTACCTTTTCAGCCCCATATATTACTCTTTCTGTCACCCCAGCCAAATTGACCTTCCCACGTGACTCTCTATTTCCCATCTCTGTACCTTTCCACAGGCTGTCCCTCATTCTTGGAATGCATCCCTTCCCCCAGTTCCATTTGTTAGAATTCTTAGTTTCTTTCAAAGCTTAACTCAAGGATCACCCAAACAGGCCCCTTCTTAATTACCCATAGCCAGTGCTTCCTCTTGCCCAGATTATCTTAAATTTGTATGTATATCTTTTGTATATACATGGGGATCATCTCCAGTCCTCCTGATTTATGTCTTGCCACTGGACTCAGATTACCCTGGAGGATAGAGTGAGGCCTTTTGCACAGCTTTGCCTCACTTAAATCCAATTCACTTGCAAGTCAAGACATCACCCTCCTGATGTCATTGGTCCTCTTGGAGAATGAAGGACAAACAACAATCTGTGAGTAGTAGTAGCTGCCCCACTGGGAACCCAACTGGCTAGTTCCAGTTGGGCAGTGCTACCTCCCTCCCTCCCTCTTTCTTTCTTTCCTCCCTCCCTCCCTCCTTCTTTCCTTCCTTCCTTCCTTCCATTCCTTCCTTCCTCCTTCCCTC